TAGGGAAAGGGAGTACTTAAGTGCTCTTTGGTAGCTGAGGTTTTTAAAGACATGCAAACCACGTCTCCATTTTTTTCTTCTTATCCTGCCTGCCAGAGGCTTCTCCGGAAGGGTTAAAATCACTGCTAAGCGCTGCTTTCTGTAGTGTGATGTATCTCTTCCGAAATTGCGTATTCAGAAAAACTGAGGAAATGAGGAGGAGAATCTGAGCACAAACTCCGTGTGTTGTTAGGCTTAAAGGGAAAGAAATTGGCCTTTCCTGCAATCGCCAAAAGTGAGAATAGACGTAGAAATGGCAGATCTGGAGGGGCTCTGCATACGGATCAGTAAAATTCCTTCTTTGTGATCTGACGTGCACCCTAGTTAGGTGGCTGTAGAGCAAACCCAGGAGAAGCTGGGCGTCTCTCAGCTGTAAACCTTTGGAAGGGAACTGCATCTGCTCCCTTATTGATAGCTTATGGCTCTGGCTGAGGTTACTTGTCACGAGTAAATGTTAGTGATCGTCCAGCTGTATGCTGGTGGTTGACTGGGCGTTTTCTTGTAGGTAAGATTGATGACAGAATTTCCTATTTTAGCTGCAGAGCATCGTGGAAATGCTGGATATTCTGAACATTTGGAGAGGAAAGCAACCAAAACAGCAAAATCTCAGATAACCGCTGCACAGGCTGCCAGAGTCAGGACAGAAATGGCCCCTTCAGAAGCAGAGGGAACAGCAGACGGCAGTGTTGAACATCGAGGCTCTCCCGGCCCTGGTGAGAACAACCTCCAATACTGAACACTAGTTCCAATGCCAGACACCTTTCCAGCTGCGTTATTGGCATGGGTGCTGGGAGAGAGACTTACCTCCTTGCATTCTGGAATCTGGGCGAAATGGTGAAAAAAATATTGAAATAAATTTGGCATTTTAAGCTGAAAGACTGCATTCTGCTCAAATGGAAAACAATTATGTTGGCAATACTGCTTAGAAATATAGTTGTGGAATGCTCAATTAAAATTTACTAGTGGGGGTTCCAGAATTGGGTAAAGATTGATAACACTTGAAGACCTTCTGAGTATGTTGGCAAATCAGGATCTCCCAAGTTACTTTTCCTGAATTGCAGGGTTTTCTGTGTTCGACAAGCTGCACCAAGGCTTTGATAAGAGTTATTTTGAGATAAAAGTTCTTATTAAAGGAAGTTCATTTAAAAGGAGCTCAGATAAACATTCCACTCAAATCTCATGGGCTTCTCTACTTTACCAAGTGCTGTCTTTTTGTGTGACCACTACACACCTAGATGTAGCAAAAGGAAAAGCTGAGGATTCGTCAGGTCTTTAGCTTATCTAGCTTAGTGTATTGACATCCTAATCCTTGAAGGTAGGTGTATAATAGGTGGAACCGTTGCCAGGAATGAAAAGTTGCGTTTCATTCTTATGAGAGCTCTGAAATTCTGGCTGTGATACTTGTTTCAGTGATGGATTTTTTTTCTTGTTTTGGAAATCTAGAACGTAAGCTTGCCAAAGGTGTTGGAGCTGGAAGCCTGGGTAGGCATTCTTCTGCTTTTTCCTCCTCTGAAAAATCTGGGATGAAGCCATTAAAAGCTGCTGTTGAACAAGCGGATGAACTACAGGACCAGGCTATCATGTTAAACTTGGATAGTTTGGAACAAGAGCCTACTGAGGATGAAACTGAAGACCCTGAGAGTGCAGGTAAGAAAACTCTTGCAGCAGTAGTTATCCTTGTTATCTCTTGATAGACTGAGGAACAAGAAGATCAGTAACGTTAACTGTTTAGTCCATGGGAAGCTGTTGGGTAGGTCCCTAGAGCCACACTGTTAGTGGCTCCTCGGGTGCTTTAGGGACCTAGATCTGATTCTAGGTGGTTCTTCAGACACTGCCTCAGTCTGCTCTGTTGCCCCAAGAGTACTTATGCTTTTTGGAAAAATATGTATACGAGACTGAGTTTTCTTCAATCAAGGCCATGTTTGAGAATTCCCAGAGTGGGTTTGAGTGGTGTCTTTGGGACTGGTTTTAAAATCTTGAAGTACAATAACCCTGAAATAAAAAATGGAACAAAGGTCATCCTAAAAGAATCCCATTGCCAGGATTTGAGGCATTGTTGGGAAGTACCACTGCAGTGAGAATATTGATGTCCGTATATTTGTGCAGTGTGGAAAGCACAGAGATGACAGTTGAACTGGTACACTTTTGCCACAAGAAAAACTGTAGGTGTTCTTAGGGCATCTGCAATGGTGCTTTTCTTGAACACAGCTGTATGAAGAGGTGGAAAGATCCTGATGAAGAGATCTTTGCTGATAGGGTGGAACAGTAAGGGTAGCATCTTGCAGGTTTAATTGGACAAGGACAGGAAGAAAATATTAAAAATTATGCACTCTTGTCATAAAACTTACCTCAGAAACCTCAGCGTAACTAGTCTCTTCCCTTGCATCCTGCTTCCTCCAGTGCACAGAAATAATTGTTCAGAAGAAGCTAATGCCCAGAAGCACGGGAGTTCACCCAGCCCTGCTTCCTCTGAGAGACTCGTGACCTTTGAGTTGTGGAGTTTAACTCTCACTAGTACTTGAGGTCTCTAGTAGTTGGACTTATGCAGCGGGGCAGGTGTCCTAGCTCTTAGGGAGGGTTGCAAAGGTGACGATGTTGCCAGATATCCTGGATTCTGGGGCTGCACTCAGCTTGCGAGGGAAGCTGGTAGGCAAGAAGCCCTCCATCACCACTCCTAGACAGAAAGCTGCTCAGTATTTCAATTCCGTTAGCGTTGTTTTCTCTCCTGCTCTGGCTTGTTAAGAAGTGAAGAAGTTAAAGAGTGAAGTTAGAGGATACAGATTGGACTTGGAGGAAACTGATAGGCATAGTTCACAGCAAAGAAGAGGTGAGGTACTGACTGTAAACTGAACCTTAGCTGGAGGGCATTTACGAAAATCTGTGAATACATGAAATGCTCATAGGCTGACCCATGTCATGTAATTTTGTTGCTCTGCTCATCCCTGTGTTCAGGAGAATTTCCCACGGATTTATCAGGAGAGTAGCGAGGTAGCTTGCAGACTTTGAAGTTCTCTCTGGGAAAAGAGGCTGCAGCTTCTTGGCAGCCTGATTTGACCCAGCCATCAGCCCCTGCAGTGTGGCCCCCGCCCAGCCTGCAGGTCCAGCATGGGGCAGATGGGCTGGACCTGGCGGGAGGAAAGCCACCAGCCTGTGTGGCAGGAGGTGGGGTGGCTGGGGCTGCAGCAGCCAGCAGTCGTGCTGGGTCCGGGTGCCACGGAGCCACAGCCTGAGCACAGGCAGTGTAGCACTGGCCCAGATGTGTGGAAAGCTGGCTGGGCTTCTCTCTGCTGCTGCAGCACTGCTGCAGGAACTCTGAAAGTAGAGTTTGGTTCCTCAAGTAGGTTTTTTCCCCAGAGGTTTCCATGAAGACACCTACGTTTGTCCGTGCTGCAGCCTACAAGTCGCTGCTGTCGACTCCGTGTCCTGCAAAACCTGCTGCTCCCAAGTTGTCAACTCCACATCCTGCAAAACCTGCTACTCCCAGGTAAGTGTGAGGCACCTTCAGCAGTGGCCTGGTGTGTCTGTGGACGCCAGTGCCAGGGAAGAGAGCTGAGCCCAGCTGTGTCCGTTGTTTTGTGCTTTGTCAGCTGTAGCAGGGAGTAAGCAGTGCTTTAGCAGATGAATAAAGAGTTCTGTTAAGTGTATGTCAGTCCTCTCCCAGAGCAGATCTGATGCCTCAAGTCTTTCCAATGAATGTTCTTTTAATATTTTCTTGTGCTGAAGGCCAAAACCTTTTCCTAGGGGTTTTTCAACTGGTAAGCTACCCTGGAGCCATAGACCCCCCGTATGAGATGCAGAGGCCCTTGCAGAAGAGAGAGAATTACAGATGACGTTACATTGATCACGTAAAATGACATATTTAGGTTGACTTTAGAAACCTAAAGCTGTGTGTAGTTTCTGTGTGCTGAGTATAAAATGAAGCTCGCCTAGAGGCAGAAAGTGAACCTGTGCTTTGCATTACTCCAGATTAATTAACATTTGTCACCCTCTTAACTAGAAATTTGGTAAAGCCATATACTTCTGCAGAACCACCAACAGTGCGTCCTAGGGAACAGGAGGACTTTTCTAGCCCGTGACTCTAGATTTTTGTTTATTGAAGCAATAAACAGTGAAACCAAATTCCTGTGCCCATTACTGCTGTGAACAGAGATGAATGATGCTTACAGAAGGTGCTGGATGATTTCTCTAGTCACAAATAGTAAAATACAGTCATGAGATGGAGTGTTTGGCACTCTGCTGAAGTGGAACTGTGTTACAAGTGAATGAATGCAGATCTGCTTTGGGATTTTGCACTGGGATGTGCCCTTTTTGGATATAGGGAACGTCTGAACGCTCATTGCTCTGTAGAGAGTGCCAGTCCTTGGCAAAAGAGGTTCTTGTATTTGGCTGCATGTTCTGTAGAGGCATTTCTGGATGTTAATAGACTGATGGATTTTCAGGCTTTACAGCTGTGCTGGGATAACAGATGATGATAATTACAGGTTCAGAGCCTGGACAGCAGGCAGGTGTTGCACAGAAATGCCCAGCTTGTTTGCGCTCTCTGCCTCTCAGTCTGACCCTGGGTTGGCCTGCTTGCCTCCTGAGAGAGCAACGCTCAGGTTAAAGGCCTGAGGAATGCTCTGGGTTATGTACTGGAGCAACAACCATGTGAGGGCCCCAGTTAAGACATTCTGCTGTAAAATAATCTCTTTATAGTGGTACAGTTCTACTGTGATCAGCTTTACCAGAGCCACGCCACGGAACTTTTCAGTTAGAAACACCAGACAGTCACTAGCTTCCATGTGTGCCCTGATCCTGTGAACCGAATATTCGTATGTCATCATTCACAGACAGGTAAAGTGAGGCACAGAAACACTAACCAGGATGACTTAAATCATGACTGGGTTTATTTCTCTCACCACTGCACGTACTTCATCTCTGGGCCTGATCTAACCCTGAGGTTCTGACAGAACATGCAGATGGGCTGGAGAGAGAATCAAATGAGGCTTGCACTCCCTCTGTGGGTTTCGCATGTGTTAGTGTCTTGGTCTTTTCTGTTGTTTTCCAGTTTCTGAGTGAATCCAGGGATTTCACTTCCCTTTTCATGTTTTTCCCTTTTTAGAATGGAAAACAGTCATAATTTCCTCTGGGACTTACAGTCCCAAAAACTGTAAACTGTACAAACCAAAAATCCCACCCAACAAAACCCCAAACCCACAAAAAAAGCCCCTAAACAAAACATTTGTAATGGTGTAAAAGTCTGTCCTGAGCCCAGACTCTTCTGTCTGCGGACACAGAGGTGACCTGTGGATGTGCACTCATGGAAGGTGAACGCTACAGGGATGCTGTGAAAACTGCATTTATGTGTTGGAGGGAGCTCTGGTTTGCCAACTGTGTTACACTGGTGTGCTTATCTCGGGGAAACTGAGCCTGGATTGCTTCTCCCGAGGCCAGAATGCCATGGGAACTGTTTGCCAGCTGTACGTTGTGGGCATGAGGGTTTTGGCGAATTGGGAGGGAGAAAGAATTAAGAGCTTGAGGTAGTTCTTAGCCCTTCAAATACAGCATAAGTTTTGCTCAAACTCAGCCTGGAGTTCTGTGCCCCTCCCCTGGGTTTGTTCGTTTGATGTGTGAATTTTCCATTTCCCCCAAAGGTCTCCCCTGCAGCCACTGCGGGCTAAGCCGCTTCCAAAAAATTTGGGAGCGTCACGGAGGAAAACACTTGAGCCTCAAGTAGCAAGTAGTTTGATAAAGAAGATATTTAGCCATTATGTGAAAATGCCAGTGGCCAGAGATGCATTCAAAATTGTTGAAAAATGGTAAGCAGCAACAAACTGCTCCTCTTCCTACTCTTTTTAGTCTTTTTTTCTTTCTTTTTCTCTCCTGAAATAACAAACCTGTCTGGAGTGCTGCTGGCAAACTGACAGCCCTCACTGTTCAGCCGAGGAGAGTCACGGGAGGTCTGACTGGAACGAGGACAGAAATGTGTCAACAGACCGTGTTCCCTTTATGAGCAAAATCTGTGGATCCTTTGAAAAGTGTCGCTGCAAGAGCTAATAGTCTGATCCTCAGTGCCGGTTTTTCACGGGTATTAACCCCTGTTCTTGCACGTGTGGGAAGTTTAGGAAAGGTTCTGGTTGTCAGACACGCAGCTGGTTGGCTGTGAAGTTCCGGGGAGCCCGGGCTGGGAAGCCGTACTTGGTTCGTGGGCTGGAGAGTTTCTTCTCCCGCCGTTCTCCCTGGCAGGCTGTGCCCTGCTCGGCAAGCAGCTCCAGTGCACCTCGCCCTGTGGAAGTGTACAAGTAGCTGGTGTTCCCACACTCCACAGCCTGATTTTATTTCCTTCCTCAATCCTCCTCCAGCACCCATAGATACTTCAAGCAGCTAAGCGACGATCTGGAGGCTTACAGCAAGCACGCAGGGAGGAAGACAGTGGAGAAGGCTGACCTGGAAGTCCTCATGAGGAGGTAAGGGCAGGGTTATTACTAACCTGTAGTAGTGTCTGGTGGTGCTTTGGTAGCCCGGTAAGACTGTCCTTGCCAGGATGTGCACAGGCAGTAAGTGTTTCCGCAGTCAGTGTGCTACCTTGGGATTTACTCTGCGTGATGCCACTTGCCTTTCTGTCCCAGGAGCACATTCGTGCCTGTGGGTTTTTGTACTCCATGATGAGGGTGGTGGCAGGGCAAGAGGAAGTAGTGAGGGGTTGGGGGTGCAGGAGTCGTCTGAAAAACAAGTAGCGAGAGGAGGAGGATGTGCACAGGGGTGAAGCGGTTGTCGCTGGGATGTGAATGGTGTTGGGAGAAAGAGCAGAGTAACAGTCTGCTGTCTCTAGGCATATCAGGGATAAG